GGACAAAGAGGACAATCTGAAGAGTTGATATTCTGCTAAAAGAGATTAATATGGGCTCTGGAAAAAACCTTTTACTAGGACTACGGAGGAGGAAGTAGGTTCGTCGCTAGGTGGGAAGGCAACGCTTTGAGTCACCGAAGAGACCTGGGAGACCCTCTGTCTTTAAGGTCAATTTGAGGTTGTAGAGCACCGACTCCAGTCTAGGAAAGATCAAGCTAGCAAAAATGTGCATTGAAAGAAGTGACTCGGGCTGTAAGCACAGCCCAATTTGCATTGTCAAGCAAAACGAGACCTTACCACTCTTCTTAGCATTAAAGAGGTGTGGATGAAATGAATAGCTGGTTCAGAGAATAATCAGGTCGGATTCTGCTATCTAGTTAGTAGTTTCAATGAATATCATGGCGGTGCTTACCAATTCAAGATCAGTCAGATCAGACATAAAGGTCGACAGGCTGTTATATTACTGTTTGAAAAAAGCTATAGGCGAGAAGGGAGTAATACTAAGAGATCCTAAGATACTAAGAGAAAATGTAGTAGGAGCTTTAAACTTTGATTCGAAGTGACCAAGATTAGCCAACTGAAGACATTCGTTGGCGCAATGTTCTGCACTTGTAGCCCACCCAATATTTAGCTTTTTAAAAACCGCTTCCAAAGCAGAGTTTTCATACGGATGCTATGTTAAACCTTTAGATAGGTCACCCAGCGGGAATGGCCGTACAGTGTGGCACGACCATTTTAATTCCTAAAGAGGTCAATGCACCGGTAGCCATGTTCCTAGTAGATGTGGCAGACAACGAGGAATCAGAGACATTTGTTTAATCTCTAGACAAAAAATTCATGAGGCAAGCAATTCATTGCGATCACCGATACCTGCTGCACAAAACTATGCAATCTCGGGCGGAAAAACGTCGGACTAACTTAAATTAGTACTAACTACGAAGGGAATGAACGAAAAAAAAATCGTTATAATATAGCAAAAGATAAATAGGAAAAATATCTTCATTATACATCGTGTAGCTCTCAGCAAATAAATCGCCAGGTAAGGTTCAAGTCATTTAGGCCGTTGGCACTACGATAGGCAAACTTTGAAAGCAGTGCATGTATGATCACGCTGTGTCTCTGTGACAGAATAACGGCCTAATACCTATAATTGAAGCATTTGCGTAATTGAATCGAGTTAATTAACTATAGAACAGTAAAGGGTGACAGGGTATTGTTTATTGATTAAGTTATTCAGAAGTATACGATTATAGAAGACGTCTAGCTTAAGGCAATTGATAAAGATGGCGAAACTGTTTGAGGAAAATCAAGCTCAAACTGATTTTTCACCAGCATGTTTGATAGCTGTTTTCCAGGTGTATTAGACGAGAAAATTAATTTGTCACAGTGCAGCTTGGTTTCCACGTTTGGCTTGTTTAACTCTGAACAGATATCTGTCGAAGTATATATATATATATATATATATATATAAATACTTTTAAACGTGTAGCAAGAAAGGCATTCTATTCTAATCAATAAAGGTATCGGCGCAATCACAACTGTTTCCTTTATCACGTTCCTGAACTTTTTGTCATTTTCCTAACATCCGTAACGGCTGGCGTAAAGACAATAGATGACGATAATTTCTTCCGAAGAGTTATGCTCTAACTGCGCTTGACTCGTTACTTGCCTAGAGGAACATTAGTTCCTTGATGTTTACCATTGTAGAGATCGCTCTATCTGAAACTCCTAGAATAATTCCGTGAAGATAACGGCATTAAATAAGAACAAGCAAACTTAATTTGACTTATATGCGGTTTGAATCCGCGTTTATATCGTATAAATTCAATAGTCTAGAAAAAATGTTCTTAATACATTTAGGGTGCTTAACTTCCGTCTAACTGCACCCATGTCACACCGTTGTTTTTACTGCACTACTTATTCCCCTGTTTATCATTAAGGAAGAACTTTCTGTAATTATAACGCGCGCAATTACATATAGTAACGGAAATTAAAATTAACCCATTAGGTTCTGGATATCTTTTTTTATATAGAGGCGGCGTACAACGCTATATTCTAGATTGAGTCTCTAGTTCCTAGTAAACCATCTAGGATTGATTATGTTCAGCATCGTCAAGCACACCACCTTCGTTGTTCCGTGCTCTGAAATGCGAAGTGGCACTAGACAGCAGATATTCTTTATGGGAGATTCAATATGATGAAATCTGGAGAGCGATTAGACTGAGTGAAAAATTTAGAGGAGCTTCTTCGTCTTTTAGCCGACCGGTGAACGGGCAAGAACCCAATCACACTGTTGAAAATGAAGCATATCTTCGATAAGATACAAAGCGCTCTTTTATCTAAATGTAGACGATGGCACGCAAAGAAACAAGTCCACGTCTCACAATACTAACGTTTATCGTAGTGTTGATTGCTTTGAATCAGCTTAACTATATAATTTCTATCACTCAATAATAGAAATAAACCGTATAAATACCCACACCGTTGCTACTGACGCCATTTAATAAGGATTGATTTAGCGGTACTATCGCTACTAGACAATGTATAAATCGGCTACAGATTCTCTCACAATGGTATTAACACTTTCAATCCTTGATGTGAGGTAGAATATGTTGTCACATTATTCGGAAGCAGACCATTGCAGAAGCGAGGTTGTGTTCTGAGATAATAGTAGGAGTTATAATTATATGTACATAGGTTTAGAAGCTTGTCTAGATCCGCTTACATGTGAATATTTAGCAATGATAGGCATCGTTCGTAACTAATTCCATGATAGTAGGGTCCCCTTGAGCAAACATCAATAGCCCTGTCGTGCAAAGGACTGCGAGGACGGGTAGTGATTGGGGTGAAAGGCCGCATCTAACCCGATACGACCGCTTACCCTTATTCCTATACAATCTTTCATCTAGTGTGGGCTATGGACCTAACAACCTAAGGCTTGCAAGGTCTTTCGAGGTTTTTCCAACTCGACCACTCAATACGTAGCTTGGTGCCTTTAATAATAACATGAAAAAGGGGTTTACGTTCTCTCTCATTAACGAAACAACGAATCGAAAATTGCTGCTAATTGAGATTCAATAGCACATGGTCAAGTAATGCTAACATGCGTGCTTGTCTTATATAACTTATATATATATATATATATATATATATAACTATAGATAGCAAATGGCACTTACGAATAAATGGTAAGGTGTTTACAATAACGATAAGCTGATTGGTCAACGAAGCATAGACCACTAATTTCCTATGATATTATATATAAAAAGAAAGGTATCCACTATTTTTTTTAATATTTTTAATGTAAATTATTTAAAAGCTGCGTAACTCGTGTTTCCGGGCCAGTGCAGATGTTTAGGTATTTTGAGGTCTAATGAAAAGAACTCAGCTTCCGATTCTTATAAAAAAAATACAACGTTATTCTTTAGTTACAGTGTTTTATTCCTCAAATTCCAAGTGTTTGTGTTTCAATTTAACAGGGCGTACCAGTTCGATCACTGGTATTCGAATAACAAGCTAATTTAAATTAACATAATTTTTATAACAAATGAGATACGCTTAAAAAGTTCTCCTTCGTAGATTCTATCTGTTGAAATATCTATGGCAATTGCCTGACATAAACAAAACTGTAGGATGTGAGAATTCCTTTGTTGCCTTTGTTTACTAACCTTACGAAGATAACTAGAGGTCCCAGATGTAAAGTCTCTTATGGTTCTGTACAATATTAAATATAAATCATCGTATTATCAATATCATCTATCAAATAGAAAAGTGAGTACCCAATGAGAATAGATTCTCCATTGTTTACATTGTTCCGACAACGTTTTCTGACACGAACAGTCCACACGTTTGACGGATTTGATGCGGGCTGCCCAGAAACTCAGTTCTTTAGATGCTACAGCCTGGTTAGCTGTTTTAAAATTACGCTGAAACTACAGTTCTCTTACCGTCAGTAGCATGCAAAGTTTCTGCATGATGCAGTGTCCTAGCGTAGTCACGCATAACATGCTTTCCCGTACACGCATTTACATATATACAAAGCGGGGCAAGAATGATTTAGCACATGTACACAATACATACATAGTGCAGGTGTAAAACGAAAACCCCCCAAATCGCCAAAAGACTGTATTCTTCACCCGAATGTATGTCCTGCATCACGTCTGGACGTGACGGAATCAGCTTTGTCACACAATTAGCTGTACGTCATCCAGCGATCAACGATCGGAAATTGTTGAGATTCTTTTTAAGTGCTGCCCATATTGTCTGGGGAAAAATCGACTGCGCCATGCAATCTTTTTTCAGATTTAATTTAATTGTGATCTTGACGATCGGTAGTCCATAATCGTTGGTTAGCTTTGCGTAATTTTGACTTCTCTGACGCAATTTCCTACGTGACTTATCCTCCACGCGGGATCGGTCGTTCCTCATCAACAACGACAAGCTTGGCCAGTGCTGACTCTAGAGACCCTAAAACTCTACAGAACAGAACCACGACTGCACTACAATGCCAACTACGTTTAACGCAAGAGAATATATCGAAGCGTTTAAACGAGTGTGGGTCACGGGGAAAGGAAAGGGGCGAAGAACCAAAAGAAAGGTCGTAAAAAAAAACTGCTCCTATTAAAACTTCTCACCTAGCTGCCCTGCATATTACCATTACGTTCAACGCAGGCGTCCGCCAAAAAGCTTTTGTATAAACACATTTCATCTGTTTGCTCATTGTCGTATCTTCCTATGTCGCCCAAATCGATCGTGAATAGACTCAACAAACTGCAGCAGTTAATATAAACCCATTTCCGACCAGCTCGACCTAGCACCCAACAGGCCTCAAACGACCTAGCAACAATTTACATGAATTCTGCTTCATAGGGCAGCCTTTCCTCCTAATCATAACTTGCATTTTATTTCATTGCCTTAATTATACTTGAAAACTAATTTCGAGAATGTTAACGAATAATTATAGCTATCTAGCAATATACTGAACACTATAAATATCTAACCTGAATCTCTGTGGATCGTTGGATAAGTAGTTGAATCCGATGGAGCATGCTCGCTGAGGGTTAGTTGGCACTTTGTTTTACGACGACGACGACGGCGGCGACGACAACGATAACGATGACCATTCGTAGTCCGCTATACGAATCGTGCTTGCAGCATTACTTTTGAGCACGGCCTGTACTAAATAGAATTAACTAGCGAAGATTAGGTCGCCAAGGATTCAAGCGAGGTCGAACGCATATCGTTACACTCAGCCACTGACGCGTACTCCGCTATACCGTCAAATCTTTTCTTCGGTTTTCTTCTATGTCTCGTTGAACAGTGAGTAAGGATAACACCAGGCTACTATTATGACACTATTCGATAATGATATTGCACTCTGGCCGATAGTGATGGAAATTATGACTTCTACCACGGACCGCGCAATTCTGTAAACTATTAAAGCAGCGCTGGTTCCAAATTACTACTCGCCTGTCTTTACTTGCCTTATGGATATCAGCCTTTCACAAGTAACTTTCAACGCATCAACAATATTCCGAATGACAAATCCTGGTCCTTTTCTAGTTGGCTTTATTGCTGCCGTTTTTAGGCCTGTCCCTAGTCCTCTTTCCTGCTTTTCCTCTGTTCATACGTCTATGAGCCAATCAACTTGTTCGTTCTAGCACCATTACTCCATTGTTTATTTATTTGTTTTTTAGATGTTTTCCTTTGCAAGTTCTTTTTCTTTTACTCGCCTTCTCCCTTCGTATCTGTCGTCCATGTTTTCTTCCGTATTCCTTGCTTCATTCTCGGAACACTAGGACAGAAGGTTGGGGCAAAACGACCCGGTCTCCGCTTGGAATCTTTCGTGTGTTGTTCTGGTAGCCCTGCTCCGAGGAACTACTACTACTTCCCGCTGCTGCTATTACCGTCGCCGCCGCCTCCGTCGCTCGAACGTCGCGCACTCTGTCCAGGTGCTCCTTCCACTCCGGCCACTCGTGGACCCGATCCCATTACTCACTTCGCGCGACTCCGCTTGCCACTGCTTGTTCATTCACTCACTGCCGCCTCCTCTCAGTTCACTAAGAGCACGACCGTGATCGTTAACCAACGCGGTCGTCCCCGCAGGCACTGTCTCCTTACCATCAACGACGACAGTTACGACGCGACAGTCGCACAGACAATTCGCGGACGCGCCCACACGAAAGGAGTTACTGCAGTCGCTCCTGATGTCGCTCCCGCCGATGTCACTGTTCACTGTGTGTCTGCCCGCTGTTTTCCTTGCCTGTTACGCAGCTGTTACTTGGTGGTTCAATCGGGAAATAAACGAGTCTGTACGACTGTCACCTCTTTTTGGGCTCTACCAGTGTCTCAACTATGGCCAACGCTGGCCCAGCCGCCAACTACCGTCATCAGCGATAGCAGTGACACAATCTAGAAATAATCTAACTGTAATCTTGACGATCAGAAGGAGGAAGGCAAAAAAGAACCGGAGATGCTATTGCCGCTGCCGCTGTTCCTGCCGCGGTGGCTGTTCGCGCGGCAAACACCACGACCACGAGCACCAGCACAACGAAGATGAGATACACACTCTTCGCATCGCGCTTACCCCCTTTACGACTCAGCCGTGGCGCGGACACGTTTGCGGGAACGCCAGAGGGCTTGCTCAGTGGCTTGTCAGTAATACGAGGGCCAGCGGGCTCGACCTCGCCGCCTTGAGCACCTCGACAACTTCTAGCGTCGTCTATTGCCGCCACAAATCGCTTCGACTAGGGCACTGCTTCGAGCCAGCTCACCTCCTCTAGCCAGACTACCGCGATCGGTTCGCTCCACTCATTTTATTTTGTGGCGCTTGCCCCCTACGGAAGCGGCAGGGAAGGCCGTGCTGTTCCGTTCTTTCTCCGTACAACTACTGCTACTACTGTACTACATAGCAGCACAGTGCAGTGGGCCTATCAACCATCCACCACCATCCACCTCTCTCGAGCTTTGCGAGAGGAGAGGGCAACTCTGTGCCGTTGAGCCGCCGGAGGCTCGGAGTGGACCAACGGGGGGCAATAAGTCCTCTCTCCAGTGGTATCACGTGACCAGGGTAAAGCTACGGGGCGCGCAAGCAGGCGGGAAAGGACGAAGAACTTAGGCCTGAAGCACAGCCCACCGAGCGAACAAGCCGGGCGAGCTGAGGACAGTGGATGGGAACGGATGAGAGTAAAACTAAGAGGAATTAGGAAATGAGGGAGGGGGACAGTAGTGGCAAGTCTTGCAAAGAGCACGATGTTCCCAATGGACATTGCAATAGCGATTCGAAAGAGGTAGGGTGACGCTAAAGTTATGTCCTCATTTTGGTGGCACGGCACGCAACCACCTGAATCACAGTAGCTAAAACTATACACTCAGTGGCCATTGCTGGCGCTGCTGTTCGGGCTGCGATGAATGGTTGTGAGGGACGTCATGTAGCCGACAGTAGAACGAATCGCTGCAATTACAAAAAACTCTAAGGGCGGACAGAACAAAGAAAAGTAAGTTAAGCAACATGTGTGTGTCACTGGGATTCAGATTTGTAAACAGCAACTTTAGATTTGATGACAGTAATTACAGTAATCAGAAACGAGCCCCAAACAAAAGATGGCGGGTAGTTTCTTAAGCTTAACTGTAAGGGAGCCAGTGACAATTACGAGGCGTCGTGTGCTCATGTGCGTAGGTTTGCATAGCGCGGCCTTCATAAAAAAGTTGACCACACTCCACCTTAACTAATAACTGGGAGCATCCATAAAGGACCTGGGAGAAGGATATAGATCAGCATATCTTTGAAGTCAAAATGCATGGAATAGTATACGTAGTTAAACGAATTAATCAACTTTTATAGAGGATGGCACGTCAATAGATGTTTGCATAGCACGCAGCATATGAGAGCATGCATAGCACGCAGCTCTTTTTTTCGTTAGAAATAACAAAATCTAGTCTGTGTGTAGATGTTAACAGTTAGATTATTTTTAGTTCTATTAATAAGTTCGACGTCAGGCTAACTTCAATTCTAAAGTCATGAGTACCTACAGGTGCCGTACATTTTAGAACTGGTACATATACAATAACATTGCCTTGAAAATTCTCAGCCATCAATTAGAAGCCTTCAGAAGACCTGTCTTTATTACGCCTGATCTAAAAAACGGAATTTTGGGTCCCAAACAGCACTCGTAGACTTATAGTAAAAATACGTAAGTACATGATCGAACCTTGACTACACTAGCACAAATAAACAAATATAATATCATAGTTTCCTAGTGTGGCGGAGCGGATGAAACAAGCAGACGTGACATTTGCAACAGCATCAGTTATCTTATCAGTTAACTTAAGCCCTTTTCCTAGCTCAGTTTCTCGTTATAAATTATAGTCGCCGCAGTAGTCCGTTTGGATATGCCGTCTCCAGAGAACTAAGATTCCTCATAACAATGCACATATCATATCAAGCCGTTCACAGTTCATCGAGTCACGCTTTTCTAACCTAAACATTTTGCGCCTATTATGTCGGCCGAACTGCTTGTCGTCGTGGCACACTGACACTCGTTTTCAGATAAATCTGATCAATAATTTAAGGAGTTCTGTACATTAGACTCATCGAGAATTCTTCCCACATGAAAGGGCGTCGAAAAGCTCATAAGTCGAAAGTCTGATCCTTCGTACAATATGTATGATAAACAGAAAGAGCTAACAATTTATTTTTGCCCCGATGACTTGGTCATAGTCATCAAGTGGCCCCCTTTCACCCTTTTGCAGCGTGTTGAATAAAACAAGAATTACTAGAACAAGAGAGTGTATCGATTATACCAGATTGAGCTCAGCAAATGCTGGAAAAGACTCATTTTTTATTTGTTTTTGTACCATAAAATGCCTGTTGTTCCTTAAATAGAAAAATTGGTCCTGTATTATGATTTTATACGTAGCTTGGGGAGTTATGTCAGTTATGTATATCGGCCTCTCTATCTAGATAACATGGAAATTGCCATATTTTATTCACTGTTTTTACACTTGAGTGAACCGCTGGTGGGCTCTCTAGTGGGATAACCACGTTAGGTTGTGTGATTGACAGACAGTTATTCCACAAGGTCTGTGTGCAACATTATGACCTGGGCCAGGTGTTCCAGCTTACGAAATATATTGAAAGCTCAGAAAAAGATCCCGATTAGGACCACTGGAACACTAACTGTAACAACGTCAATCCGCGCGTACGAAGAATGTTTCGCAAAGTTCGGTGGAAAATTCGATTTTAAATTCGATGTTCTTAGAGGTTCCGTTCCGACCCGAAAAATTCATGTAAGTTTTGTTATGTCTTTAGTACCAAAAATAAAAATCACTTGTAGTCAGCGTCAGCCTATTACGACTAAGAAAAGTTTACCTTTGTGCACATATTATAATAAAGCTTTTCGGGTCTTTCTTTTTCTGTCAAGACCAGAGAGCTGCCAATGAAGCTTAGGACATCTTCGAATAGTACTGGGTGAATATATTAAGTGCAGTATTATGCATGACTGAGCAAAAACATTTTATGTAGCGTTTACTAAAAGTCTAGGTGCCCTATAAATCAAGTGAAGGGTAGTTTCTGAGTGAACAGCTTCATATTTTCTCTTAATATTGCAATCCGCACTGTGCGATATGCAGCCACAGTGACAGGATCTTACTTAAGGTGCTTATGGACGACCAAAAATGGGGTTTTTAGGTCAATATGAAACAAAGAAACGAATTGGTGGGTCGGGAGGGTACGTCGTAAGTCTGGAGTAATGCCTAATCTCTATTCTAGAAAGATTAAGGATTATTTACCTCTAATCGGACTGGAAGGGTATTAAAGACTTTAAAATAATAGAAAAAAAAAAAAGAGATAGTAAAAACGATCTGTGTATAGCCTAATTGTATGGAGCAAGCAAAACGAATAGAAAGCAAAATCACTCTTCTGTAGGACAATAGGAAACCGCTCATGACGGCCGTAAAAATCGCCCTGCGCAAACATAAAGGTTTTTTCTGCTTACGATTTTCAAACGTGAAGCCATTGCTATTCTTATCGATCACTGGACAACGAGATTCACCTGGCAAGGCACTTGATAGTTAAGAACCGACTGACTGAACAAGTCCTTCGGTACTGAGTCCGACGATCTGTGGCAAAACAGAAAAAATATATTAACTGGAAAAAGAGATCAGGGAAAACCGTTTAGTGTGAACGTCAATACCTGAGTTTTAATTTATTCCTAGAATTTGAGTAAGGCAGTATTCTTCGTTAGATTAGAAATTGCCATTACTATTGTCTCGACGCATAATACTGTGATAAACGAAAAATAAGTACTCAGTGATATCTTATTGATCGATAGGTATTTCGTCTTTATTTCTTTATATATATCTTTTTTTCGTTTATTTACCAGCGTGAAAAATCGGCGTATGTCTCGTCGGATGATGAACTGCATGTTTGCGTGTCTCATACTTTATCTTTTTGTGTGTTTATGCGTGCGTGTGCGATTATTTGTATATTCCCCTCTTTTGTTTGTCACAGTATATATTATATTAATGCGTTATATTGTTTTCTCTGCAATCTCCAACATCTCCTTCACACTATCGGCTACCAGCTTCTCACATTCAATTGTTACCACTGCAGCTGTGGCTGTAAGCTTATAGTGAAGCTCCGTTTTCGCTATCATTATTGTTCGATTTGTCTGCTCATATTGGTATCAATCTGTACCTGTCACAATGCTGTTGCCATAACTCCATTCGGCGCTCATGGGGCTATGTTTTTATTACAACTGCAGAGCAAGATCAAAATCATCAGAGAAAGAGAGAGAGAGGAGGAAGCGATAAACATTTGTATACGAAAACTTTCTTAGAAAAGGATAAATAATGTTGCAATTAATCAATAGACGGTTGACATGATTATTGACCCGGACGTCTCGAACTTCTGCAGAACGTTTCTATAGGAAAGAGCGACGGCTGAATAGAGCGCCTTTTGAAACCAAGAAGGGTTAGACTTGAAGATACGCAAAATACCCTTTTTCCAATACTAATTTGAAGCTTTGCGGAATTTTGTGCCGATTTTAACTATATTTCATTACTTCGATTGTTTAAAGCATAAAGAAGATGAAAATTAATCAAATACGTAAGACTAAAACTATATTTGTTTCTCTCTGGGCATAGTCATCTTATACCACAGTTTGTTATCCCAATCTCGAAAAGGGAATTCACAGAGCAAGAGCAGGTTGATGGAGCTAGAAAAAACCTCAATTTGTTTACGTTTATTCTACGCGTCGTCTGTTCGTTTCAAGTGTTAAAATTGCTCCTCACATGTATACTCGCCGGACTATGTCCAAGTCTCAGTTAGCAGTTAACTATATATCATTTTCTTCCTAATAGCTCTGTAGATCGTTCTTTTTCTACAGAATAGCGCAAAAGCATTGCGTATAAGGAACCAAATACAACTTGTGCTTAATAGGTAGTAATAACTTAGAACTCGAGAAGACCCTCACAAGAAGCTCTTTCATTTGTTTGCTCACAACATAATCATTCAAGCAATACTCTGTACGTGGATAGCCACAATTAATGGATGATTATATATATATATATATATCGATGGTACAATGGCTTAGCATGCTTGTAATAGATGTGTCTATTGTAATATAAATCACCAATAAAGTTATACAAGTCAATGTTTAGAAAAAAAAATGTCAACAAAGGTCTACATCTCAAATATACAGCAGATTCACGTAGCGAAGCGCAACGGGAGAATATTCTGTTTCGATTTCAACTTGTCGATCGGACTTTTCGTTTTAGACGCTAGCAATCGTATCTTACGACATGAATGGGCGCTTGTCTGCGGCAACTTTTAGCGGTCCCAGTTACCAACTTACTGATTACAAACAAAACCATCTTTACCATTTTCGCACTCATCGTTTCACTGCTTTGGCCCCTTTCTCAGCGGTATTTTTCCTTTTTCTTCTAAAATTTCGAAATAAAGCACGAACTCATCGACATCCATACAGACTGAATGTGCATGTTATTATTTTAGCGAGTTTTTTAGTTGAATCATCGGATTACTACTATCTGTCAGTACATTCAAACCAATCATGATTAATATCAAATTTTTGCTACTAACCGCTACCGTCATCGTTACTGCTTAATGCCATTTAACTTGTGTGTGCGTCCGCTTATCTACACATCGGTCCGATTGAGTCCGTCTATGTCCTATTCTGTTCTCGTGACATATTCCTCTCACACGTATCCCATCACAATCTCGCCTCGCCAGCCCCATATCGCTCCTCTGTCTTGTTTCTAGTAATCATACGTATTTCAATCACGTTCCCGGAAATCGCTTTATTCTCTATGATTTATAGTTACGTAGTGTTCCGTTCACTAAATTATTTGCTTCAATATTTCTCGTATGTATATATATATATATATATATATATATATATATATATATATAACTATATATTTTTATAGCAATAGTAATCTGTCTTCTTCTTTATCTTTCGTTATTACTAAATAGTAATGCTATATATATATATATATACCCCAGCGGTGTGTTATTTATTCAGTTGTTCATTTTCTAGTTGTCTGTTTGTGGTTTGTTGTGTACTGCTGTTGCTGCCATAACTGTACGGCGTCTTTTGCTCACGTGACTCGATTTCTGTATTTATCATTGCTGCTTACTTTCGGAATATATGTATCGTGTCTAAATATAAATATATCTATATACATGCAGCGGGGGAAAAAAAAACAAAAAAAAAAAAAACAAAAAAACGAATCAAGTGATAACACTATTATTATCATGATCGTTATTAGTATTATCATTTGTGTACTCGCCTTATTACTAGCTAACGGTACATTTTATCATTGAATTGATCGTCTGGTCTTTCGAAATTTTTTGGTTTAGTTAGTTTCACGCTGCCGCTCCTCTTTCGCTATCCTATCAGACGCTAGTCGTTTCGTGCCGTTTGACTGTAAAGGCAAAACGGACCACGCAGGGCTAAATTCTCGATATCAATATACATTTACTAGCCTTGTCAGCAAGCGGATGGATTTAATAAATAAGATGGCAGAGAGCGTTGCTACTGTCACACCGAGCTACTACCGTGCGACAGTCATGTCTTAGATCTACTACTACTACTACTACCACTGTCGACGTTAGGCATTGTTTCAGATCGGTTACAACTTCTCGAAACGAGAACGAATCGACGAAATATGTGTACGGCAAGAATTCAAACCTCACACATCCCTCAGTTATCACTGCGCCATGACAGGGGGGGGGGGGGGGGGGGAGGGGTCGACCAAACTACAGTACGCTCATCGATGTGTCCAATTCGCGAGCGAGACGGGTCGGCTACGACAGCTATGACCGACAAATAAGTAAATCAATTAAAACAAAATTAAGATGTAAAAAAAGCAACATTTAACAATAGTTTAGTGTGTAATGAATGTACAAATCAATAGCAGGATATTCACAACAACAAAAAGACATTGATGCCCAGTACAAGCGAAAGATACAGCGAGATATGAATAACATACGTAGACTCAATCGTCCAAATAAGTAAACTAAAATGTCATTTTTGGGACAATAAGATCACTGCAATATAACCTTTTGGAGACAACCCGTTCGGTCGGTGTCACTGGTTAATTACATTTTTGTAGATGTTTCCGTTGTGATAGGTAATTATGTCGGTACGCCGGAAAGATCGGTACGTCGAGGAAAGCGTATCGCGCCATAATCGTTGCTAGCTTAAATATGTCTGCGGAGCGACCCAACCATTCTGTACAAGTGTATAAACACAAAATTGAAAAAAAAAAACACATGTGTAATAAGCGTGTTTGTTAACGACTGTCTAACATGGTTCTGTTTGATTTCATAGTGTAACAACACTACTCAACCCGTCTCACTGTCTCGGGGTGACGACGATCGGCTTCCAATCGTCATCAATAAATAGTCTCGCGAACATGTTTGAAATAAGGCTTAGCAACTATAGGTTTCAGCTTGCAGCACGTAGACTTTCCGAAAATCGTCCTTTGCAACGATAGACAAATGACCCAGATTGGCCTATTCCTAACGTCTTATCTTATCATATGCTCGGGCCTGACCCCCTATGGATCGCCGGTACAGAATAAGGTCCCTTCTTCAGGCCAACAGTGAAGAGGAAACACAGCAACAGCGGTAGTGACACTCTAGACTCGGCCTGTTTTGTATCTAAGTAAGTGTTCATTGATTCTATGGTACTTAATCCATATATAACTTGATCCTCGTTTCATCCACCGCTTTTTGCCACTAATTAGAGTTCGATCAAATGTTCACGGTATTTTTTTTCTCATTTGGAGGTTGTTCACATTGATACAGTTCTAATTCAGTGTTCATTAGAACATCCACACACGCACATGCCCACATACAATAGTTCGTTCGCAAACATGCATCATCAGCCATACAGCAGTGACTCGTCTCTACATTTTTTTTTTTTTCTATCGCGTCGTTTATGCATACGGCTCGTTATCTTTTGATCTTCTCGTTCTGTCTACTCTGAACCACAGTTGGATTTCTAATCACTTCGTATGATCTTATGCTTTGCTTGTCAACTATCTATCTAATCGCTACGCTATCTGTTAGCTTGTGTCGTATAGTCTACGAACCCATCATCACTATTGTTTTTATTATTCTTATCTTTTACATTATCGTCATCATCATCATCATCATCGCATTGTTGTTTTCCTAGTTTCAGCCGACGACAATGATGATAATGATGTCGGCGATGACGATGATGATTATGATGACGGATTTTCATTGTTGTTGTTGTTGTTGTCGTCGTCGTCGCCAATGCCATTTTGTGTTTATCTGTCGTCGCTATTACCGTCCTCTGTTTGCGTAGTAATATCTTCATAATGACTAGCATAAAATATAGTTGATCGCGTTCAGGGAAGCCCGCTTCGTACATCATATGCCTTTCATCCAGGCTTTTCCTCCTTGCGTTTATCCGATTCGCATTCATCGTTCTTTCTTTTTTTTTTTTTAATTGATTTCTTCAACTCTTCGCTATCATCATCAGCTTAGTCGTACGACTGTAAATTCACGCGTATTTGCTTCACGTGCTAATTAAGGTATTATTTTTATTATTATTGACGTTATGATCATTATTACCATCGTCACTACAATTACCCATTCTGGATCGGTTCTGCTTTCTTTCAGCTGATGGCGTTGTGCCCTTTTCTACTAATGTGTACCCTCTCGTATTCTGTTCGCTTTTCTGCAGAAAGTATCTGTTTACTCCCGTTTATTTTCGTCCAACGTTCACGTGCTATTTCACCGTTTTTCGCTAGGCACCGCAACGCTGCTAAGCGGTTTCTCCACAGGGCTTCAGTATTTTCGTCTTCCTTCCTGAAACTGGCCTGCTACTCTCTCTGGTTAACTTCTCGGCGCGCAGGATTTTTTTACCTACCATGTAAACGCTCTATCTCTTTTACCGCTTTGTTTCTCAATAGAGTAGCTTATATTGTTCATTTGTAAATCTCTTTGCCTTCTCTCGTAGACAGTTTTTGGTATATGCAAATATCTTCTCGTGTGTTGACTGACGCTGATGCAAGCCTTAAGGTTGTCTTTGTGTTACCGCCGCTGATTTCAGATAGCTGGTTGTTCAAGCGCTACTGCTTCGAAGCCCCATAGAAGTGATTCCTCATCATATGGAACCGCTACAATGTATATTGGTCACATTTCGCGGGATTCCGCAAGTCATGATAGAGGAAGCTTGTTGCGTTTCTGTTTTCTCGTCCGCTGCATTTTCAAGTTTCGGGGCATTTAACTTAACGTCGATCATTTCACAAAGTTCGCGGAGGTGTTTATCAAGACCAGAGCAGAGTTGGTGTTCGCGTTTCAGGCTCTATGAGCCTTCGATATTATTGTTATCATTATCATCGAGAAAATAGTGTACATCATCTCTCTGTGCCAAAAGAGGGGACCTTGCTTTTTTTTTTTCACTGAAGATCCTCTGTCATTGTCATATGTGTAGAGTAAAAAAACAAATTTTGCCTTGTCTGCCTGAGGTGCTTAATATAAGGTTCGTCCAAGGCGCACGGTACACTTATTTAGTATGTCCATCATTATTGGATGATACTGCAGGAACACGGTTTTACTGAAGCGGTAAAGAGCTATGGATGGTTTTCAAAGGTCCCACCCAGTAGCCTCTGCTCGCCTAGCCACAAAGGCGCTGCCTTTGCCTTCTTCCGATAGTATGGTTAATCTACGTTTACGATTCTATTATTATTGGTATTATAAACCGTGGATCAGAAGCACTACATAACGTTGTGTTATATTCGGCAGGCTATTGGCATAAAATTCTATATAAAAGAAATCTTAATCTGTCGCGATTTATAAAAAAAGAGACGAAAAACTACAGCTCAGACTAAGCTCTCCTGTCCATTTCATCTACTCTCTGCTATTCTTTTTTTGGTCAACTCAAGTCTGCTTCACTTAATTTCCTTAGTGTATATATATATATATATACACTATATATATA